GAGGAGGAAGAAGTGCTTTTGGAAATAAACATGAGGTGTGCGCCACGCCACGTCGCTCATTCATCGTAGCGTCACACAAGTCGGCGGGATGAAGACCTCGCAACCACTTCATCGCCCGGCCATCATCATCGAAGACCTCAGCGAGACGCAGTGACCGAACGCGGACCACAGAAGAACGCGGACCACCAAGACCTCCAAGCATCATGACAGCAGTATCAGATGACCTTCCCATTCCTAAGTACACCGGAGCAGCGGATGATGGACCCGTGCAGGACTGGTTCTACCTGTACGAGCTCCACGCTACCGCTGCATCTTGGTCGGAACGGGAGATGGTTACGAACTTCAGCGACTATGTCACCGGTGAGGCATTTAAGTTTTACCTCACCCACATATTCGACAACGACGAGTCTTGGCAAAAGATAAAAGAAGGAATGATCATCTGGTTTCAAGACTATAATGAAGATTTGATTAGCACACGCACTCTCAGTGCATTCAAACTCAGTCATCGCAGTCATAAGCAGCCTTCACGCACAGAGCATGAATTTACAATTCCCATCAGGTGAAGTTAGCCACATGCTCACGGAAAGACCACGTGGTCGTGTTCCCAACCTTCCACCTGGTTCCTCATCCGCGGATATATCACCAATGCTCAACTCACTGCTGCATAAAAGAATTGAATCCGCTATTAATGACCAAGATGCATTTAAGACTTCATGCCGCATGCGTACTTTGCAAACTGACTTGGCATTCAGCTCAGCAGTGCCTCAAAGACAGAAGCATTCACAATCAGCATCTTGTGAAGGAAAGTCTTCTGCAGAAGCGTCTAGTGTTAATCAATTACAAGATCGAAGAGACGTGAATCCAGTATACAACCTCACTGCATATAGTGAAAACAAAACCGCAGGTGCAACTTCTCATGACGTAAGTACGCTTCAGGCAACGACCAACAATGAACGGTTTATAAATACAGAAGATTTAAGTGCATCAAACCCGCCACATTATCTTGCGCCGGAAACAGTTGCATTGGTTGGCGTCGTAGAAGCCTGCGGAGGACTCGCTAAAAATCCTCGAGCAACATGATCAATGTCACACCACAAGCAAGTTGACGAAACGAAGAAATTACAACGTCAACGCATACTTCAACATTGTCAACGGCGAAACAAAACTTCATCGAGTGCACTCTTAAGGCTTGAAGAACATTGCGAAAAGGCCCATCGTGGTGAATACATTCTCCACCAAAGATCAAGAATGTGCCTTCCATCAAACCATCTGCGACATCGCCATAAAAAAATTTGCAAAAGCCACAAAAGCACCCCTTGTACTCGGCAGAAACACAGGCAGCGCCCAATCAACCTCGATCAACGCGCACGCAAGCTGTGCCACGACGAAGAATTCGATGCCTACGATATCTGAACTGTCCATTCTGCAAGGTGTTCGAACCTCGTTTGTTCGTCACAAGAATGCCGGCTTTGATTTCCGCTATCTCCACGTCCAAAGCATTCTTGTTTTATCCAGGACGCAACCATCAGCCTCGCCCACAAGAACTCTTGCGTTAACCGGACTGCTGCACTCTTTCCTGAAGTTTTGCGAGTTTACGGAACACCACGGGGCCATGAAACCAATTGTGCATTTTGACATTTGTGACTTCTCAACCTCTCCTTGTGTACTTTTCCTTGTTCGTAATCCATGCCTTCTTTTGGGGGGAGGGGGAATCGTGTGACGTATGAAGCGATGATTGGTAGAAGCCGAGAAGGAAGAAGTGAGATTGGAATAAACATGGAGTATGAGCCGGGCCACGTCTCCCACTCATGATAGCGTCATATATATATATATATATATATATATATATATATATATATATATATATATATATATATATATATATATATATATATATATATATATATATATATATATATATATAGGTCGTAGGTTCGATTCCTGCTTACAGTTGGTAATTTTTTCATCCACTTTTCTTTCTTCTTATTTACATTCCATTAATGTTAATAACTTCCCCTGTACATTCCTTGGCATTATTGTCTGTTATATCTCATTATTATTGTGTTAAAAACACGAAAAACGAGCCCTTAGGTATACACTTCTTTCCCTTATATATATATATATATATATATATATATATATATATATATATATTTACCGTGAATGACAACAACGCCAACGCCAGCGGCAAGCTCCCACCTAGAGTGCTCATATAATTGCTATCACAATAAAAGAAATTGTCAGATCCCACGTACAGTATGGTTCGTTGATATGCGAATCACGAATGAGAAAGGTTGATATGTCATTTTGAAATTGGCACTTTTTTAAGAAGTTGAGGTAAATGATGCCGTACATGACTTACATGTCATGAATGATTATCATGTTTGGCTGTGTCATTTACCTTAATCATCTATTCACGTCACGTTATACCAAATTTATTATATTTGGAGCAAGTGAAACGGCCGCGAGCGCGCTATGAGCATGGTATGTTGCGATGTTCTTGCATGACACGCTTGTCAGGATTATCATGTTTACACCAGTCATATACTTTCGTCATCCATTGACGTCATGTAGAACCAAATTTGGTATATGTGCAGCTAGCAAAACGTCAGTGAGCGCATCATTAGGGGCCCATTATACTATAATGTAGCGTTGACACACGCGCACGCTGGGCACAGCGACGCTACGTTGTCGAAACGCGAGCACTCTCTAGTCAGACGCCAGGCGTTGCCGGCGCGACCAGCGTCCGTTGGCGCGGCCCGACGGCAGCTGGCACGAAATGCGACATTCTGAATTTCGCACCAATGCGTTGCCCAGACAACACTGCGTCTCTTTCTTTTCATGACGAAGGGACGCCGGACGCGCTGAAACGTGCATGCGTCAAAGCAAGCAACGCAGTGTGGCGCGCGCCTGCGAGTATATGACAGGACCGGCGCCTGGCGTGGCAACGCCAGCGTGACGCGACGAAAGGAACGCCGGCGAGCACGTGCACCGCGTCACGTCGAAATGTAATGGCGTCTTGACTGTGGCATGTTGTCATGTTCTCACATGACATGCATCGCATGATTATCATGTTTGCACCAGCCACAAACCTTCATCATCCATTGGGATCACGTAATACCGAATTCGGTATATGTGACGCTAGTGAAACAGCCGCGAGCGCATCACGAGCGTGGCAAGTAGTCATGTTGTTACATGACACGCATGTCAAAATTTTTATTTTAGGGTCTGTCGCTTGTGTTTGCCATGCAATCATGTCAAACGAAAGCCGTTTTGCAACATCACATGTGAACGAAACCACCGCAAAGGCTGCAGGACCATGAAATGTAAATCATAATATTATGACATAGGTTTCATGATTTTCATGTTATGACTAGTCAAATCTGTTTTTCATACAGTCATGTCATGCCATACTAAGTTTGGTATCGATATCATTATCAAAATTGCCAGGAGAGCTAAAATTCGTAAACGGCTAAATAGATACGCTCAAAGTCACTGAAGTTCGCTAAAAAATGCTTCGCATTTTAAAAAATGCCCTCACCTCCGCGGAGGGAATCGTGAGGAAACACAATTACATGTCGTTGCGTCCATAACGGTGTTTCGCACGTGAGAACCCAGTGTTAGAAGAATGGTGTTTCCTTTTTTTCTTATATCATGCAACCAATACACATTTTCACAGGAAGAAAAAAAACACCGCCATGATGGGCTGTGCGCGGAAGTACAAAGGCTAAGGGCGCAGCGTTTCCATGGCATTTTCGAGGGGACGCGCCAATTTGCACAGCCCAAGGAGGGCTATGGCGGCGCCCAGGGAGGCGTTTATGAAAAGGTGACTAGCACCGTTCGCCGCACGTGGTGTTTTCCTGTCTCGAGAAATGCGGTATGTCTCGAAGCTCTAGGAGCTGGTGTTCACAGTAAAAAATACTATGAAGCGAACAGAACAAACCACGTTCTCGGCTCGGCATTGGCGTTTCACAGCGGCGTCACGAGAACACGTTTCCGTATGTTCTTGAGAGGCGCTCAGCGAGTGAGCAGTCGAGAGTGAGGCGTGAGCGAACCAGAAAGTGGGGCACAGGGAAGAGAGAGATCGGCGTGAGAAGGAGCGGCGCAGCACTGCACCCACCCTCTGCTACGCTCTCTCGCACCACATGCTTCCGTTGCTAGGTGCGAGAGTAAGCGCACATGCCCACAGCTGTTGCTATGGGAGAGGGTGGGGGAAGGACCCTAACGGACGCCTGACATAGCCCTACTAAGAAATAAATCCGCATTAAAGATATATATTTTCCATAGCACCATTACAAAGCACATAAAATACTGATAGGTAGGAATACAAAGCAGTGCAGTGATGATGAGAAACGTTCTTTACAGAAAAACAAAATGCTCATTTACCAATGTGTTTTTCATGTTCTATTTAAAGAAAAACAGTGACCAAGACAGTGACTTGACGTGACGAGGTATGTGATTCCAAAGATGAATACCAAGAAGCGAGCGGCCATAGTTCGATCAAAATTTAGGTAAAAGAAGGCTGCACTAGATACGGCATTTTGACACGGTCAAGTACCAAAGTGCTCTATTCGTTGTGTCAGGTCGTACATAAAGACACACTACACTCTTTTGCTGAGGACGGCTGAACGCGCTGGTTGCACACATTTGCTAAATGCTTTGAATATTATTCGCATTGTTTCAACTCTGTGGATTTCAGCATGGATGAAACATATGTAAGGTTTTCGCCATAAAAACCTTCCATTCTTTCTCTAAATACTTTCGTGTTCGATTACGTGATTCATTGCCAACTTTCAGATTCTTTGATAGGCACTATTTCAAAGGAACAACATCGTCATCTACGCTCAACGCTTTGCGTCCAGTGTTTAGATATCACGACGGTATCGCCAACATCACTCGCGTGACGTGCTTTTATAGCAATAGTTTCACATGTCAAGTGTGCAAGGGTGTCATCTCTCGAGCACCATACAGATTTGAAGGCAAGCTGAAGCTGTACTGACCTGTGGACTCGGATGACTCGTACTCGCCCTCGCTCTCAGCGTTGCGTAGGCACCGTTCAGACAGCGACAGGGCTGACACGCTCGTAGGGGCCGATCCCGACGTGCTGCCGGTGCCAGCCGAAGAGGCGGCCATGTCTTGTTCTTGTTTTTGTTCGCTTACTCTTGTGGCTCACTCTGCGGGGGACTGGCCAAGAACCGAGTGGTCTTGTAAAATGTTGTTCTTGTTCACCTATTACTCGTGGCGCATACCCACTGTGGGGGATGGGCCAAGGGTTGGGTGGCTACCTTACATACCGGGCACACCGGCCCTTTCCTCTTTCTTTTCTTCTAAACGAATCTTCGGCTCTGCAGCCATCGATACTATACCACATTCTTGTAGCCGTACGTGCTGCCTTGCCACAGAAAAGATCAAATAAACTTCACGCTTCAACTTCATAAAGAAAATGTTCTCGCCTTGGCTTCAAACGCGATGCCATGGCGTTGTCTCTCACTTGGTGTGTTACGCTGCTGCAGGCTGCTGCTTACGCTGTTCCACAGCTGCAGCACAGCCACCCGTCGTCGTCGTCGTCGTCGTCGTCGTCGTTGTTGTTGTTGTTGTTGTTGTTGTTGTTGTTGTTGTTGTTGTTGTTGTTGTCGTCGTCGTCGTCGTCGTCGTCATCGTCGTCGTCGTCATCGGCGTCGTCGTCGTCGTCGTCTCTAACATGTCTCTTACCCACTCAGGGGGACTGGTAAAAAGTTTGTAGTGAAGCCTCCGAACTCTGAAATCGTCCGAACTCTTAAGTACCTTCTTGGCCGTGACACTCGCCATAGCGTATGATCTCTGGTTGCCTGCTAATAAGCGCCTTAACCAATTGGTGAAGGTGCTGGGTAACGTTCCCAGTACCTCTCGCGTTGTCCCAGTTCGCGTACCATCAATGCTGTTTCCACTTCTGATCCGTCATCTGCTGATGCATTTGGCCCCTCCATTGCTGACAACCTTACGGCGGTACAACGTTCCCAGCTTCTCGACCTATTGCAAGAATATCGTTCTTCTTTCGATGTCGGGCGAAATTATCTCAGCCGCACATCCGTTGTTACGCATCGCATTGACAATGGTGCCCATCTAGCTTTACGGCAACGTCCATATCGCGTGTCAATGAATCAATCAATCAATCATTTATTTTCCACTTCAGGAAGTAGAGGGCATGGGAAGAAAAAGCTGTTGTGAGCTTGACTAGGCTTCCCAGCTGATTACAGTTCAACATGCACTGATGGCATACAGAAAGCGGTGTACAGAAGTATAAACACACAGAAAGTATACATTATTCTACACGCAATAAAAAACATGCTGAACATCAGGTAATTAACGAGCAGGTTGACGATATGATGCGACGTGACGTTATTCGGCCTTCGAACAGTTCATGGGCGTCCCTGTTGTTCTTGTTGCGAAGAAAGACGGTTCTGTGTGGTTCTGTGTGGACTACAGACGGCTCAGTAAGATCACTCGCAAGGATTTTTATTCACTGCCGCGCATCGATGACACGATTGACAGCCTTCACGGAGCCAAATTGTTTTCTTCTCTCGATCTGCTCTCCAGTTACTGGCAAGTATGCATGGCTGATGAACCTCGCCCGAAGACTGCCTTCGTCACACTAGACGGCTTGTATGAGTTCAACGTCATGCCGTTTGGTCTATGTAATGCACCTGCGACCTTTGAGCGCATGATGGACACCATTCTGTGCAACTTTAAAGGATACACGCGCTTGTGTTACCTCGACAATGTCGTTGTCTTCGCTCCGGATTTCTCCATGCATCCTTCACGTCTGAAAGAAGTTTTCGCACGTGTGAGCAATCCCGGCTTGCAACTAAATCTGAAGAAGTGCCGCTTTGCAGCACGGTAACTCACCATCCTTGGGTCTGTCATGTCCAAGTATGGTTCTTCCTGATGCGGCCAAGCTTCGGGCCGTGGCCGAATTCTCCGAACCTGCGTCCATCAAAGAACTGCGTAGTTTCGTGGGCCTGTGCTCATACTTCTGACGCTTCATACAAAACTTTGCCACGATCATATCACCGCTGACGAAGCTCTTTGTAAGTAACGTGCCTCTCAATTCGTGGTCATCCGAGTGCGATGAAGCGTTCGCAAAGCTCCACCATCTGTTGACGTCTCCTCTCATTCTACGCCACTATGACCCTGCGGCACCAGTGGAGGTGTACACGGACGCCAGTGGCTTAGGTCTCGGCGCTGTGCTGGCACAGCGCGAACCTGGATTCTCTGAATAAGTCGGAGCACATGCAAGCCGCAAATGCATATGCGTATGCATATGCAAGCTCACGAGAGCCGAGACAAACAGCACCATCACGTAGAAAGAGTACCTGGCGATCGTTTGGGCCCTTACAAAGTTTCGACCTTATTTGTATGGTCGCCCATTCAATGTCATCACGGACCATCATGCACTATGCTGGCTTTCATCACTGAAGGATCTCTCAGGCCGTCTCGCTTGTTGGGCTCTTCGCTTACAAGACCACGACATCCACGCGCTGTACCGCAACGGATGCCGGCATGCTGACGCCGATGCCCTCTCGCACTCCCCTCTGCCTGAAGACGACGCGCACTGCTCAGTATCCTCAATTGCTGTTTCTGCTATCAATGTTGACATCCTTGCTACCGAACAGCGAAAGCATAATCGGATCGCCCCGCTGATTGACTCGTTCTCTGACCCGTCCACAACACCATCCACGCGTGCCTTCTTTCGTCGAGCTCACCATTTCGCCATCCGTGACGGCCTTCTACACCGACGCAATCACGACGCCAATAGCTGGAAATGGTTACTCGTGATACCCCGCAGTCTGCGGTCGGAGATATGTAAATATTTTCATTCTGATCCACGATTGCGCGCCCTCTGGGGTATCCAAAACTTACCAACGCATTCGACAACGCTACTTCCGGCGCAGGATGTACCGCTACGTGCAGCAGTTTATTCGCTCTTGCCTTGCTTGCCAACGCTGCGAACCGTCAGCACACATGTCACACGCCGGTCTGCAACTGTTACCTTGCCCTAACTGTTCGTTTTGGCACGTATGTATCGATTTGTATGGACCACTTCCTCTGACGTCGGCTGGTAACCGCTGGACAATCGTTGCCGTAGACCATTTAACGCGATACGCCGAAACCGCCGCTTTCCCTGCGGCTACTGCGCGCAATGTTGCGTACTTTGTGCTGAATCAATTCGTACTGCGCCACGGACCACCCCAAGAGCTTCTTAGAGATCGAGGCCATGTCTTCTTGTCGGAAGTCGTCAAAGCCATTCTAACGGAGTGCCATTTTGTCCACCGCAAAACTACTGCTTACCACACGAAGACCAATGGCCTCACCGAACACTTTAACCGCACCCTCGGCAACATGCTTTCGATGTACGTCGCCGCCAACCACACGAATTGAGATAATATACTGCCCTTCGTCAACTACGCCTACAACACCGCCCCTCAGAGCATGACAGATTTTTCACCTTTCTTCTTCCTGTACGGAAAGCACCTGTGGCACACAATGGACACGATACTCCCGTACACGCCGGATCCATCTGAGTGTGCACCTATTTTTGAGACAGCCAGGCTTGCTGAAGAGCGTCGCGAGCTTGCCAAGACTTTTACGACGCATGAGCAAGAGTGGCACAAGAGCATTCGTGATGGCTCCACCACTTCTGAGCCCACGTTTATTCCTGGTGCGCTTGTATGGCTCTTGATCCCTACCTTTGTAGCTGGCCTCTCTTCCAGACTACTTCCCGAATACGAAGGCCGCTACTTTGTCATCGAGCGCACATCTCCGGTCAACTATCTGATCGAACACGTCGAACAATCTTCGGACATGCGCCGCCGCGGGCGTGACATCGTCAACGTGGAGTGCCTGATGGCTTATTTTGACCCGCTCATAGTAACAAGCTGTTAAGTCGCCAGGCGGCTCCCTTTTCGACCCAGGGGTAATTGTAGTGAAGCCTCCGAACTTTGTTGAGTACCTTCTAGTGGTGCTACCCAACAAGGACGCCACTCGCGCTGTGAGTCTGTGCTTGGCCGTGTCTGTCGCCATAGCTTATGATCGCTGGTTGCGGGCTAATAAATTCCTTAACAATTTGATTATAAAAATTTGTTAGACTTTTCGATGAATGAATTTTGATAACCAACAGAACAACGTACGCAAATCAGAAATAGTCAGAAAATTGTTTTTCGCCCGCCAGATAAAGTACAAGATTTTTTTCTTTTGAATATAAACCAAACTGGAAGTAAATACAATACAATAAAATAAGCTTACTAAAATTATTCATTACTACAACACTATTAAATGCACAAGTAGGAATTTAAACTCGCATTCATTTTGTTTCCTGAAGATAATTTCAAACGACATCAAAAGCGTTCTTGTGGTTGAAGTCTAGTTACGAAGCAACGAAGGAAAGCGTGTTCTCACTTGTGAAGTTCAGCCCTAGGTTAGCGAACGGGATAACAAGAAGTCTTTTTTTAGTAAACTTTATCGGCGACATGACCCGTTAGCATCACGGTCATCATCATCATTCATTCCCGTCTCCAAGTCCAGAAGAAAAACGGCCAGCCTCTACGCGTACATAGTTTCAAGTTTTATTATGCACGCAAGCCAGTTGTTTTCCAATCTTTGTAACGTCCTATTTTGGCACACATTCTACAGCACTTGATAATTAATGTTTTTTCGTATTCCAACATCACCATCATCGTCATCATCATCTAATAGATCTCGGGGACACGTATAATGGTATCACGTACCAATAAAGTCAGGTCCTTCCTGAACACTGACGTCAGTGTGTGTGGTCCAACCAGAAATATTTGTGACGTTATCCGGTATTTTGACAAGTGGACCTGTCTTGCACTGCATAAGCTAGCAAATTGTTGGCACTGGGGAGGATAAAATGCAGTGAACTGGGAGCGCAGGTGAGCTAATACGAAGAGAAGTAAAGGAAGACAGCGGAGGAAAAGTATAGTGGCCAAGGAAACTTAGTGCTGCATGAGCACTGCTTGAACACTCACCAACCTTAGGATAAAGTTTGTGTAAGTACTGGATACTATGGGCTAACGTTGGCGATCCCTGTATAGCACTGGCTCATTGTCACATCTTGTTGGCTGTAGTATTTACTA